TTTCATAAGTGATGCTCATGATCAATAACGGGCACATAGACGAAGTTAACTGAGCAAAAATCACAAGCTAAGGTCAAAGGATTTCAGAGAACCCTTTGCCTGTCAGGTCTCCATCGTTTGTGACCTGGGTTTTTCTTCAGTTTTTCATCCAAAATCTTTAATTTTTCACTGATATATGATGTCATCTGTGCTGTTTCGGTTTCTGTTCCTCGCTTTGTCTTCTCATCTATTTTTGTGTCATTGTTATCGACGTTCTTTCGATTATGAGCGATTCTTAATCTGATTTTTCAGTTTTGATGGATATTTTTTTAGAATTTTCCGGTCTCTTCGTTCGATCATTGTGGTTTGGCCGACATGATATCTCACTTTGACACAACTAGATAGTCCGGTAGAAGGAAAATTCAAAGGTCTGTACGTTTGAAAAAGTGATGAGAATGATGGCGGTGACAAATTCAACCGAGAGTGGGACACAGATTAAGGCATCTGAAAAACTTGTATGTTACCCCACTTTTGATAGTGGATTAGAACAGCCTTTAATTTAGTTCTTTGCCGTTAACATTCTTCTATCCTTCAAAGCTTTTTGGGGGAATTATCTTATCCTTGCTGCGTTTTATAAGGAATCTTTGCTTTATCCGCTGTTTAAACTCTTTTATCGCTGTCTGGAAACAACTGATCTATTTGTCGGTCTTATTACCCAAACTCTATATGCCACTCGTTGGACATCCTTGGTTAAACAAGACTGGAATCTTTGTCGATGCACTTACGACGCAGCCTACATCACAGGTTATACGTTCTGTTCTGTCTCTTTGCTGACCACGACGGCCATAAGCGTGAACAGACCTCTTGCCGTGTTTTTGGGACTGAATTACAAACAAATCGTAACACTGAAGCGCGTATATGTTGCTATAGCTATCTTTGGGCTGCATGTGGTGTTGCAGCCTTATGCCATATTTTAGATTACCGTATAACCTTCTGGTATGGTTGTCCAATTACACTATTTTGTCTTGTCCTTTCAATCGCCTCGTACACAAAGATTTTTCCGCGCTCTCAGTCAGCATCGCGCTCAGATGCAAAGTCATGTCCAAAAACAGCCGAGCCCAAAAAAACATATTGAATATCCCGCAGTACAGAAAGGCAGTGTACAGTGCCTTGTGGGTACAGTTGGCTTTAAGTATTTGTTTTTCGCCTCATAGCTAAGTGGTAATTGTGATCACCGCTTGTACAACACATTCAACTACTAATATCGTTATTGAGGAAATAATGTCAGGTTTAGTTTTGTTTAACCCTTTTTTAAACCAGTTTCATTACTGCTGGAGATGACTGAGGTAAGATAAGCAGTAAAGCAGACAACTAGACAAGCACTTTGCTATCGATCCATGGGATTAAATTTCTCTTAAGGTTTGGGTCGTGAGAGGTCTTGGCCGAAATAATGGCTCATAAATTCGAAGATCAGTCCGCTGCTCGTTTTTCAACACTTCCTCTCTCTTTTCATTGAACCCCAAAACGCGAAAAACTAATTTCATCATTCTCATATCTCATGAACGGTTTGTTTTATGCGAGTACAGCTAATTTAATATCTAATGTTACTTTGTAAGCTTAAAGAAAATTTGGATAAAATTAGAGAGACGTAGATGTAAAGATGTATTACAAGTGAATTACGGGCTCCTGGGCTAATCTTTCCAAGTGAACGGGGTCTGTGATTGTTCTATGAGCTAGTCAAATTGAAAAGCAGCCACAGCTTTGAATTTTTTTTTATTTTAGGGAATTGTCAATGATGTCATAACAAAAATGTGTTGGGAATTTATCTATTTTTGGAATTGTTGTTTTTACCGAAGTCAACTTTAAAAACAAAATTATTCGTCACAAGTTCTCGAATAAAGCTCTATTTTACATATTTTTATTTTTCCCGAAGGTAAATATGATAAAGAAATTAAAGAAGTCGAATTCAACCCAAATCAACCAGAATCTTTTTCAATGTAGGTTGGATAATTTTTAACTACGCTTAACTCGAATCCAGACTATGGAGGCGAAGGTATGCGTATTTGTTTCTTTAAAAATCTTCAGCCATAAAGTGCTGCTAATTTGAGCAATAGACCGTACTTCCTATCGGCTTGCCGGCGTAGTGCCTAGTTGGAATGTTGGGAGTGATTTACAAGCTTTTTGAGTCAAACCTCTCGTGATGTAAGCTGAGTACAGGCATTTAACTCAAATCTTGTCGGCGGTAACCAAAGTTTTGAAATTCTTTTATTATTCTATCGTCTCTAATGAGTTTGAAAACCTGTCTAAATCCAAACATCTAACGTCTGTTCATCAATATAAGCGACCAAAAATGCAAGCTATGATGACAGTTGTAAACTTAAACGTTTATTTCCAAAATTTTAGAACTGTTCACGAGACGAAAACATGACGAACCGAAGACCGAAACCTTTCTTGGCATACATTACACATGTGTGCACTATCACGCAATTTAATCGACACAGCAGACACGCTTTATTGCACTGATGAGGGTGTCAAAGAGATGTGCTGCATGAGTCTCACAAAATGCCTGCATCTCATCGGAGCTTTATAGAGATTGACCCCCACTCTCATAGTGCCTGTTCAAGGCCAACTGAAATAGGTCATTTTACAGTTGTGTACTTAATTGCCAAGCCCTTGATTTAGAGTGTGGCTGAAGGTGACCTTGTTGCGATAGAGACCTCTATCTAGTTAGTATGATAACAAAGTAATTTGCATTTGAAAAGTAGCAAGGTTTGTCTTACAACAAAGTCAACCTCAGCCTCACTCCTGTTTAAAGGCTTGGTAACCAAGCACACAACTGTAAAATGGACTATTATGTCATCATTTTTTAAATTATTTTATGATGTAAATAGTGTGAAGTAAGTGAAGCTGGAATATGCAGCAGGCGAAGACAGTCTTTGAATATAACCATGTACCGTTTTTCTCCTGACTGGCTTTTTTTTAGTGGTGTTCGAGGCAAATGTTTTGGCGGTGTTTCTTCTACAGCTTGTGCACTACCGCGTCCCTGGTTGATAACATGCCATCCTCTCGAGACATTTCAGTGTTTAAGGCAGTTATCTTCCTCTACAAGCAGAACTATTGCGTGTTTTTTCTCACAGACAACAACCTCTACGCCGAGCGGTTTACCTACTGAGGAGGCGATAAAAACAAGTGCTATGGTAATAACACGGGATACGAAGTTCGTAGCCATGTTACGAACGTTCCACTTCAATACTTAAATTCACATCTGTGGCCAAAATATATATATTTTTTGTTCGGAAAGATATGTTGCAGAGCAGGTTCGAAAGAAACTTTCTTTAAATTGGGAACCTTGGTCCAGTTGTTCGAAGGCCGATTAGCGCTAACCCAGGGTTAAATTTTAATCTGGGTTTCTTTACTCCTTTGTTCGCGCGGCCTTTTTTAGATCATATTCTCTATTCTAAATGGAGCACTTGATTATCAAATTGTCGACAAAAAGTATTATACTAAATCTTCTTTTAAAGCCTTCAGATCTGAAATCATATTTCACACTAACCCTGGGTTATCTAAGCCCAGCTTTGAACAAACAACCCAGCCCTTATCTGTTTAGGCTAGGGCTTATCCCCGCGACATGAAACAAACAATAGTAATTTTAAAAATACCGCCATATCGCGCCTAGAATGTTACTATGGAAATATTGTCATTCCTATTCCTTTACGCGCATAAATTTTCGCGCGCGTTACAAGCATGCGCGCTCGTTTTGTCGTTGTGTCAACTTAATCAACATCATAAGCGCGTGCACAGTAAAGATCAAAGAATCATCTTAAGCCCTGTCTCGTCATAGAAGATATTTCACGTAATGATGACGCCAAAAACGAAGCAGGAGAAAAATTAGCTTTTGGAAGAAGAACAATATCCCAATAACGTCGCTGAAAAGATTTCAATTAATATTTAATTCTACTGATCTTTGCTGTGACTGTGCAAAGGCGTTTGTTCTTCGTTTTGTAACGAGCGCAACTCACGCCAAAATGAAACCTTTGAATTTCGCGCTTGGTTGTTTGGTTACAACAGGCGTTGTCGGTGCTACTGTTGTTGTTTACAACTGGTGGAAAAACAAAGGAAAGGTTAGTAGCATCTAATGTATATTTATGTTTCCATGAGGCAACACTTTTTCCTCAACGACAATAACAACGACAAAGGAATCTGCATCTTGCATGGGTTAAAAGGGTTTCTTTTTATGTGAAATAGACGAAACGAAATGTACAATAGAACAAAACGTATATGTTGATATTAGAATTCCCTTAACTTGATATTTGAGAAAAAAATAATTAACTTTTTTTTTTATTCCGTGAAATTTTGCTTCAAATTTTGGGAGTAGCATGGAATATTGTGGGTTTCTATGAAGACTTTTTTTGCCTTCATTTTAAGACACTTTAAAGCAGGCGAAACTGTACGCCTTACCACATTTTTCAACTTTTTTTTATGAATGAAAGTAAAAGATAGCACAGAATCAGACTACAAATCAACAAAAGCAGAGCAGTTCTCTCATTGGAACTGATGAATATCGTTGATAAATCGAGGCTAATATCTTCATGGTCCCCAATTCAAACTTGGTCATATGACAGGCTTAAACCAATCGTGCGCGAGTGAAGATAGAGCAGTTTTTTGGAGCGACTGAGTATCGAAAATAGTCCGCGATTGCTCTGCTTTTACTTTACTTCGCTCGGCGATTAGTTCAGAGGATTCGCGCCACTCTCTAAACTAATCAGGCACAAAACTAAAACCAATCATGACTTGGTCGCCCGCGTTTTCCCGCGTTTTCCCGCGCTTTAGGCAGTGTGGTTGTTGGATCAATATCAGTATCTGGGCAACTGCCCACCTACCCCCCCCTAACTCAACAACAGTCAATTGACAACAAGTGAAGGTTAATGTTGGGTTAGGGGAGGGGTAGGTGGGAAGTTGCCCAGATACTGATATTGATCCTGGTTGTTTTTACTTTGAGTTCTCATAGGCCCTTAAAGGTATTTTTCTCTCTTTTGATTGGCCGTTGCAATTATTTTGGTTTTGGTTTTATGACATTCAATCAAAAAGTGCTCTATTCGTTAGATTACACAGGCTGATGTTATCAGTGTTATCTTTTTCGGTGATTACTTTGCAGGATGAAGGAGATTCAAATGATTCGGACGACGAAGAAAATAACTGGCCCGAGCTGAGATATGGAATCTACAAAAATCCAACACCGGGTCCTTCGTGGAGAGAGGATGATGAAGTGTCCCCTAATCCCGCTTGATCTGCTCAGGGCCCATTTGCGCCTACGTGAAGCACCACCTTGAGTCAGCAGCGTGGTATGTATGAAGGCTTGGGCCAACGATCTGGGCCTGTGATTAGAAAAGTTATTCAATACTACATACTGTATAGAGATGTGTGGAAAAAAACGAAATTAGTGTGAAGAATTTTAGATTTTTAAGTCAAGAATATGGTTGCCATTTGACGTTGAAGTCCACTAGAGGCGCAGTATACCATAGATTAGAAGACGGGTTTACTTTTGAAGTAATATTTCCACAGGGAAATATTGTGAGAAGCTCATAATTCTTAAAACATGATCTTACATGCATAGAAGAAGATTCACAAAGGAGCCCGCGTGGCTGACTTCTGAAGAGGAATAAGATAATTCCTCTTTGGACGTTGGCCACGCAGGCCCCTTTGTAAATCTTCATCTATGAATTCTTGTAAGGTCATTAGGGACTCTGCTCTTAGACTAGAAAGAGAAAAGAAAGTTTAATTCGAGCATGAGGCCCAATGAATTTTAAATCGCTGATTCCAACGATCGCGCTTCGCACTGAAATTCACTTCACTCTCTTCGTGCCCATTTTTTTTAACTCCAGCTAGGCGGATTATTTACATAGTCACTTCTGTGCGTTTTTCAGTTTTTATTCTTGCAGAGAACCAGCTCTGATAGCTCAGATTAAATTACTACCCGTCAATTGTTAAAATCATTAAAATGTCACTCTGCCAATTTAGTATTGAAGGCTATCAACGCCCTTGCTCAAACTAAAACTTTTCCTAGAAAAGAGATCGATGGCAAAAATTATAGGACATTTTAAATTCGATAAATTCGTTCGATGTCGCCGTTGTTTCTTCGTGTTTTAATGAGTGATTTTTGGCAGGATTGTCTCCATGTGACCCCAAGATTAATTGGTTACTTTATATGTAGATCTTTTCTCCTGATGTGGATTTTCTACACATGAAAAGCTGATTATACATGGTCTTGACAATTTTACCTTCCAACGTGCCAAGAAACAGAGTGTCATTTAAACAGCTGAGGTAAAACACTAGCGCATTCTTTAAAAGCAAAATAAACGCCAACGGCAATCAAAGAAACGGTATAAAGCCGTTTACAATTGATGTATCATTTATATCTGGCAAAACAAATCTGTTGAAACGTTGAAAACATGGTCCGATTGGTTTCAAACATGGCGTATGAATACCTTCAGTCGAAGACACTGATTTACTTTGCAGTGTCTGTTTTATTATTCATAACATGTTCGACAAACTCAATTTCGGACTCAGCAGCGGAAATTAAGTCAAACGAAGCAAGATCCTCGGAAAATTCTGCAACAAACACACTGTGGATGTCCCGACCGGGTATGAAATATTTTATGTGCGTGAAACTGAGGTGTGAATTTGAAACCCTCTGACAACACCTTCTACCACTGGAGATAGGTCCTGAGATTGATCGCGATGAAAACGTCGATAAATATTTTCAAAACTAAAGAGGGTGTAATTCTGGATAGCTTTTCATTAGTTAATACTCTCTAATTACCCGCACAAGAGCACATGTAGTTTAAATCGAACCAAAGAAGCGTCAAGAAACCCTTTCAATTCAGAAAATCACAGTTTCATTTCGAGTGAATATGATTTGGTGTTCTCAACTGAAATCTTTAAAGTGTCTAATGGCCAAAAAAAAAAGTCATGCATGCAGAGAAAAAAAAACCGGTTTTGATTTAGTTCTAACATGGGTGTAATATAAAACAAAACTGAGTCGCTGATGCTCCAGTTTCAGTTTCATTCTGGTTGTCAGTGCCGCGTTTAACTATTGATATTCTATAACTGATTGTAAATTTCCCGCACATGCGCAGTATTATTCCTGCAAAGTGTTTGGAGTCGGACCATTTGGCAACGGTTCGTCACACTAGAGATATCATCTCGTGAGTTCAGAACTGTCATTATTTGTCCAAAATTGACTTGTGGTAGAATTTAAAATTAACAGTACTAAGAATAATAAAATGTAGACCTGAACAACAGAGGAGAACTGACGTTTACTCCATTTCAAGTGATTTAAATTCTGGCAAAATTTTCTTACATATACACCTTACTAAACGAGTTCGAGGCCGTCCTATAAGTTACAAACCGAGCTTTTTCTGCTTGGTTTTATGGCCATGAATCCTTTAAAAAAAAAAGGAGAGGCTACGTGATATTGATAATTGCTGGACATTTTTAATCGTTCTTATCAAAGTTCAGGTGAACAAAACAGTCTAAATACGTGAGCAAATACAGACTGGATGTTTCTACCTATTTACGTTGTTACTGGCTACAGGGCTTAAAATAAAAGAAAACAACAATAACACCGAAAGAAAGGAACTGAATTGTAAGACTTGCGTTCGTGCCTTGAGAAAGTATGAACATGTCTAAAAATAAACTTTTTCCTTTAAATTCAGCATCCGATCGGTTGGTGACTGAAATAGTCATAAATGACTGTAAATATATGAAAATCATACATATGAACTGCGGATGTAGGAATGAATATGTAAGCGATCTTCACCCATTATTTCGTTCATTACTACAAAGATCACTTTCATATTTACTTCTTTATCCGCAGTTCACATACATGATTTTCATATATTTACAGGCCCTTTATTACCACCTTACGGGTTTATTTGGAACCAACATAATGACCAGCTTCCAGTTGCCTTGTTAGCTCAATTGGTGGCGCGCTGCACCAGTATCGTAGAGGTCATGGGTTCAAGTCCCGTACAGGCCTGAATTTTTTTCTGGCCCTATTTTCACCACTGCTTAAGAAGTGTTCATAACTGCGAAGGTCGCTTCCATATTCACTTGAAACAGTTATGGTAAATTTTGTCGCCGGCTCAAAAATCAAAAGTTTATTTTAGCGCTTTGATCGAGAGTTGCAACCTAGAAGACTATGGTTGTACCTCGTGTATTGGGTGTCGTATTCTTCAGGGACTTAAAAAATAGATCGGATGAAATAACCGTTTGAAGCTTAATAAGTCTTTCTTGATTTTTTTTCAGACTTGTTGGAGGGAGATATCATGCTGGAGGAAGGGAATGGTCGCGCTTCCGTCAACAAGAAAATTCACGTATGGCCCGGAGGGACTGTACCATATGTTATGGACTCTGGACTGAGTATGTAAACTCCTCCTGCAAGGCGCGCGTCCGTACGTGACCCAGGCCGGGCATGCCTTCATACGCGGAATGAATTACTGCCAAGGGTAACCCCTTGTAGTGATTAAACTGAACAGATTTTTGTTAGAATTTCTCGGTTGAAAACGTTACATACGTCGACTCTTTCCGGGTAACCCCAATTCGATACCGGGGAAACCCCGCCCGAAGGTGTATAATTTTCCAATGTTCTCGTTGTTTATTTCAGTAAAAGTATCAAACCAGGTTAGCTTTTAGTTGTTCTGCCTGGCTTCCTTTGCTGAAATTAACGCGCAACTTTGTAAATAATGTATCACCCTCACAGGACATGTGTTTAGGTCTTTGGACAGTAAAAACACAGGGAACGGGTCAAACTCGAATGAAACCGCGTATCAAAGCTGTCTGGCTACCTGGGTTTCTGTAAAGGAAATATTTTTCAGTACTCCTGGTAATGGTCGTATCCGTGATTTTTTAAAGAAATCTACTCCTTTTTCTTCTTCATACAACTCGTGGGACATCACTACTTTCGATAATGGCCCAGTATTATCCTAAACAATGACATTGCTTCAGATATCAAGAAAATCCAAAAACTTTCACTTCTTTTTTTTTTATTTTATTTTATTTCGATAGCTGCTTTAGCCAGGTTGGCCATAAGCAAGGCCATGAGGAAAATGGAAAGCCTCTCATGTATACGTTTTAAACTCAGAACAAACGAACCCTACTTTGTCAGGTTCATACGAGGAGTCGGGTGAGTCCACTAAGAAACATCTTCTGCTCTCATTTTTGAATGTCCAATTTAAAAGCATAACGCGTGCACCGTCCTCTTATTGCTCAAATCGGGCTGGTGACAATAAATCACGTCCAGGAATTTTGTTGTAGTTTTGATTAGTGGCTAAAATTGTACACAAGGCTTCCCCTTGGTTTTTTTTTTGTTTGTTTCCTTGACAGCTGCTATTCCTGCATCGGTCGAACGATGGATATGAAAGGACAAGTTGTTTCTATTGGATTTGGCTGTGAGAAAGAAGGGATTGTGCTACATGAGCTGATGCATACTGTGGGCTTCTTTCATACAAATTCACGACCCGACAGAGATGCTTATGTCATTGTGTATTCAAAGAACATCAAACCTGGTAAGCTTCAACTCGCTCCAAGGCTCTCTTTTCATTCCTTCATGGACGGGAAAAGAGAAAGACTCTGGGAACAAGACTGGTTAAGTCCTGATAATCGGGATTGCTTTGCCTCTGTTTCACTTTGCTCTGTAATTGGTCCAGAAAACTCACGCTTCTTACTCGATCAATCAGATTCAAGAATTAAGCCACTTGCGATTTGGTCACAAGTGTTTTCCCACGCTTCAGTCAATCTGCTGGTTTTTACTTATTTTCACCCGAGGTTCTCCCCTTCTATTGGCTCGTCGTAATATTTTCCTTTACTCTGATTGGCTTTTGTGTTTACTTTGGTTTTGGTTTTACGACATTCAATCCAAAAATCTCTATACTATAAATTTAGTTGTTAATAAGTTACCCCCTTGATTCATAAGTCAGGATTAGTTTGTTATCTAAGTAAAGGTAATTTCATGTAAAGCACTGTTCAATCTTACTACGCATTATGTCAAAAACCAATGAATGAAGTTAGGGTTTTGATATTTTTATGGCTGGGTAAAATTTCCATCAGGTTTTGAACGAAACTTCAGGAAGTACAGCCATGGTCAGGTGGATCGACTGGGTGCACCTTATGACGTAACGTCAGTCATGCACGTACCACGGGGGAGCTGGAGCCGTAATGGGAGGAACACTATAGAGTCACGCGCTGGAGCCCATGTAGTTTTGGGTCAACAGAGAGGTCTATCAGTTGTGGATAAACAACAGCTTAATCAGCTGTACAATTGTGGCGGCAATAAGGGTAGGACTCTCTTCAAACCCCTATGCCTCAAATGCTTGCAGTAATCCTTTAAAATTAAACATAGTGGTTTTAAGAAAGCCGATATCGCTTCAATTGGATGAAACTTAAGAACGCCAACAACTTTTTAAAGATACTGGACTCGTAGAAACACTATGAAATCATTGGAGTTGCCACGTGATAGAGAACAAACCAAGTAATACACTGTTTTCTAATAAATTGCTTTATTCACAGGCTGTTTTGTCTCTGTGGGTATCGAGAAAGGTCAAATACGCGACTCACAATTGCGCGCAAGTTCTTACAAGATATACCACGAGCCACACCAGGCTCGGTTACATCTGACCGCGGGATCCAAGGGGAATGGTGCCTGGTGCGCTGCTCGAAGTAGAAGTGGAGAATATTTACAGGTAAGTTATCATATTTATTTTTCTTAACAAACTAAAAGTTGCCATCTATCAGTTTAATATCAAAAATCGTCTTTTAAGTGGAATGAATACAAATAAAGTCTGTGTTAGGTTCGAAGACAAAAAATTGTTACTTGGGCTGCCTGTGGAATGCCCGAGTTATAACTTGGGCTTCGTTATTATTTTCCGTCTTAAGACGCAAAACGCAGTCAAGTTCTCATCACGTATGCGCAACCTTTTGACTCTGACGCATGTGCGACGTTTTGACTAATGAACACATGGCATGGTGTAATGGCGGACGAAGAGAAGCTTTCGCGGTGCAAAATCAATCAAACAACAAAAAAACTTAGGCTGTAACTGTAGGCACATAGGGAAAAAACAAAGATTCCTTCCAACAGAAAGCCCGAGTGAACGCAAATATGCGTCTAGTTTCTTCATAATGCTAGAAACTTCCATTAGTTTAACAGGACCTTATTCTACCTGTGGAGTCAGTATCTTGAAAAGCATTTTAAGATCACCCTCCGACTCACAAGTAGCACTTGGGAACATGATCATTAGAGAATACCAAGCTATAATCTGGGAAGACGCATACTCCCCCCTTCATAAATGAATCACTCGGGGATACTGCGCTGGTGCGGGGAGGTACATTTTCCTTTAGCTCTCGTCACTAGCAGGAAGTTGGCGAGAACACGAGTAACTCGCGCGCTGGAAGGCCTTCCTGCGCGTGGATTGTCGTTCGTGTACCGGTCCGACTCACGTGCACCAATTTAAATCTTACCTTGCATCAGAAAGGCTTATGTCTCAGTCAGTGTGTTAAGTTAACTGAAGTGCAAAGGGTAAGACTTTATGCACCAGCAGTGGGGGAGTCATGTCCGTACACCATGAAATAACTCTTGAATCATTCAACCTACCTTTCCACCCTTATTTTAATGGCAAAGCCAAATCTCACTCTTAACTGTGGCTGTCCAATGTAAAACACGGGAAGATCTGTTCATGAGCTGTCTTCACGTGCTTTGTGTCACGAAAAAGGCAGTGAACTTTTGGTCACTTGACAGTTTCTGCTGCAGTAATTACTGTTCTCCTTATTTTTGATTCCACTTCACAGATTGACTTAGGCTCAAGACACAAGATTACAGCAGTTGCAACACAAGGCATAGCAAGTCTTTTCACGAAAGCCTGGGTTAAAGGGTACAAAGTTCAAAGTAGTGACGATGGCCGCCGCTGGGTCTTAAACACACAGGTCAGCGGTGTATCATGCAAAATTTGAATGATCGAGGAGTTGATTGAGTTCGTTTTAATAATTCTTTAAATAGGGTATACTACTCAACAAAACGTGTTTGTTTACTGAGTACCTATGGTTTTGATGACTGCCATCCACGCCGTAAATTATGGTATCCTTTAGGTGTGCAAGATGCTACGGGTTCTGAGTAGAGATTGCATTTAAATATGGAAAGAAACCCAGGATTGCTTTGGTATTGCTTAATCGAGGTCTGTGGTTGGTCCCAAAAAGTCGCGCCACTCTCTTTAATTCGATGCAAAACTAAAGCCAATCGCGACTTGTGTCATTCACGTTTTCCTCCGCTTCCATCAGTTTGCTTATTTTTACTCAGCTGCTCTGTGACGCATTCTTTGCCCTGACTGGCCTTTCTGTTAACGTTATTTTGGTTTTGGCGGCACTCAATGGAAAAGCTCTCTATCCCCCAGACCTCAACATTAGATAAAGTCGTAAATCGAACTTGAGATTTTAACCAAGCTTTTCCGTTCGTGCTACACCTGAGCAGCAGAATAGATAAGCCAAGCTCTCAAACAGGATATTATAATCAGATAACACTTTAAAGAGTGGCAAAAGATGGCACGCCTCGCCTTAGTAGGTGGTCTACAGCCCTCTACTCAACATATAAACAGGAATTTTATAATTCGTGTTTTATAAGTTTCTTGAGCCTGTCCCCCCCCTCCTTTCCCCCCAAATAATGTTGTCTGGTGCTTACTATTTTCAGACACCACCTCTAGTACCAGACAATTTGAAATAAGGGAGAGAGGGAGATGAATGGATAAATGTCAGATAGAGTAAAGATTAAAGCATAATTAAAACTTGCCTAGACTTTTAGCAGGCATTGCAGTTTCATGGCCTCATGATCGTATACTGACTTTTCAACAGATCTTGAGGGGAAATTGGGACGCAAACTCCGTGCAGTACAACGCCCTCCGAACACCGTTTAATGGTCGATACGTACGACTTGTCCCAACTGACTGGTACAGCCAGATTTGTCTACGAGTCGAGCTTTATGGATGCAAATAGATGAGATTAAAGGTGAGAAGAGAAAATATATTTTTAACTGGACTGTTTTTGGCGTATGTGCTCGCAGTACATCGTTACACAACGAGCTGTAAATTGCCTTGATTTTCCAACGGGAGATCATTCATTTGCGGACATTTATATTGTCATATTCCAAAACAACATACGACTAACTGCTTTTAATGGAGGTAAAGCATTTAAATTCAGAGGTAACTCTGTCAGACAAAAGAGACTTGACGAATTTATGTGGTCAAACTGAACTTCTATTAATGGAGGACAGTCATGTAAGAGGTAAAAGGATCATATTGAGACTGAAATAGCTAGGGAGCTGGTCCTCATTATCAGCCCTTCGGGACGGGCGTTCCTTCGCCCGCGGGAAAGTTTGATGCCTTGAGCAACAAGCAACTTATCAGACCCGGTAGGGTCGGTCTCATGGGAATAATTAACAACTGTTCGCTGGAGGCGAAGTGAATATTATTGAATAATCCTCAAGACAAAGTTTTTGGCGTTTTTAATTAAGGCCTAAAGCTCTTTCTTGTGTATTCTTTCCAAAATTGTTTTGATATATAACTTTAGGCGATTCTAATTCACATCACGTACCCCTTCCCCTCCCCCCCCTCCTCTTCCTCTTTCAGGTCTAGGTCTCGCCTTAAAAATGAAACTCTACCGTCTATTTGTTGTTGTTGTTGTTTATTTTTTCCAACAACGGAGACTGACCTTGAAAGACAAGAACTTGAGTCTTCATCGGCATCCTGAAGTAAAATAGATTGGAAACACTTACTTGACCGCCTTGAAAAGTGCTCTTACAACACTATTCACAGTGCCGTCCGATATCTTTCTTTTCATTTCCTTTCAGGGCCAGCACAAAACGTTGTGCATTCTCTCCCCAGAAGAGAAGAGAAAGCGAGATGTATCATGTATGCTAGTTAATTTTAAATTTTGACCAGCTTATTTATCAAGGGAAATTAAGTGAAGGACGACCAGGAGAATTTCTGTTGTAACTGTTGGTTTAGTGGAAACATATCAAATTCCTATATTTTCATTTAAAACGATGGTAGACATTAGAAGGAATTTACCGTTTTTTTATGGTTGTTCGTTGTTGCGATAATTAGTAATAAAAACGGTCAATCCTTTGCCTAGGTGGATTTCATACGAAACTTGCGGCTAAAATGGAAATGAGATAATTGGTCCTTGTCAGGAGTTCCAAAGCTAACGTTTCGAGCGTTAGCCCTTTGTTAGGAAGAATAGAGGAATTGTGGGTTGTGTGTGGTTTACAGCTGTTTCGACAAAGGTTGTCAGAAACAATAATAAAAGTGTACGCAAGTCTCGAAAGGTAATCTGGGTATCCGGTTATCAATGAATGTCAACAAGTCAAGTAAAGAAATAAATTTATCAAACCCGCCATGCCTTGTCTTTACAGTGAAGTTTCCTCAGATTTCCCCGAGCCGAGCGTGCAAGTGTGTCACTGACGTTCATTCCTCATTCTGACTTCCTCTGTGATCTTCTATAAACAGACTCACGTTAAAATGCTGTACATGTTGAGGTCAGGAGCCAATCTAAATGAGTGTATGATCCAGCTTAACCCTTTACACCCGAACATCATTGCGTATATTCTCCACACTGTTCCCTCTATAATTCCAAAGGTGCTGACAGGGAGAATTTGTTTAACAATCAAAAGTCTCTTCAGGTGATGATCATTTTCGTTATTCTTGCGACTTTTGTGTGTGATTCAGGGGGGATATTGTAAGGAGAAGTTAGATGTTAGTCACTCTTAGGGGGCAAAGGGTTAATAACAGACAAAAATTTCTCAATAGCTTTGAAATAAGTTTTAATAAGGATAAAAACACTATTTACAATGATAATAAGTTAACGACTCCTCAACCTATCAATAAATACTTCTTGACTTCTTAGCATAGTGCTATAGTTTTGTTTTGAAGTGAGGTAAACAACTGGTAGCCTAGTAGCTGTATTTACTTTGCGGACATGTTTAATGATAGCGTGGTCTTAAGATGTCACGCGATCTCATAAGTAGCAAAACATACCCTAATTGTGACAAACGTACTTTCTCCTGGCCTGATAATTATTAAATACACGGTAAATAAGAAATATTTATCTCTCAAATAGTATAACTATAATTCTTTTCGTTATGATTTACAAACAATTTATGTAATCTTTCTCTAAACTTAGGAGTCTAACTTAATCATTAATCAAGATTTCCAGGCCCGCGCGTATGACAGAATTAAGCAAAAATGCTTTAGACTAATTTCGCACAGGGATTGATTGTGAAATTGTTTCTGCTCATGTATCCCCTGATGCAAAACATTAAGCATCTCTGAGTTCTTTATAAACAAGATAGAAATCTGTAACCACAACATTTATCACTTCATCCAGTGCCTTGCAAGGCAACCAAACATAGTGCATGGAGAACTAGAAATGGTCATTTATTTCTGTTACCTATTTCAACCCCTTGTAATATATAAAAGTTGCCATTTGCAGAAAATCTCCAGTTTCAAAATATTTTTTCTCTCCCATAAGGAATTTTTCCCGAACAGTTGTAACTATAGTTCTCACTTTTTGCACAACTTACTCCAAGTCATTTTGGAACAAAAATTGCTACAGTTTTCACCACTAGAACAGAACTTAAAGATATGATGTAATAACGAATCAATCGTTGCCAACATCAGGTTACACTCTTACTTTTAGATCTCAAAGTCGGTTTAAAGATAAATATCAGTACATGCAATGAGGGCCTTTGAGTAGCCTTCAGTATTAGCCCTGCAGTATACTTGCTAGTTTAACCCTATATACCATATGCATATCCTCAATACTGTTCTCTAAACATTTCCTATGGTACTGACAAGCAGAATTTGTTTGATGATCAAGAGCTTCTGTAGTTAGTGACCATTTCCTTAATTCCCTCGACTTTTAATGTTTGTTTCAGGAGTGATACTGATTGGAGAAATTAGATGTTAATCACTCTTAGGGGGTTAAAGAGTAAAAACGAATCAATAGAGAGCATGCACGCATGTTACACTTGATTTCCTAATGGAGATTATCACTAGGGTTTCAGTGCCACCTAAAAAGAAAAAAAAAGCTCAGCAGTGTTCAGGTGAAGCCTTATCAACATCAGAGACACCTTACAATTTACATTATTAGTGCAGTTAAGGTGGCTCTGATATGAGGTTTAAGGGGCATGACCAGCAACTCAGAAACCGAGAGGGACTTCTGCAGAATTTTTCAAAACACAGGTTAATAAGCTCCCTAAGTGCCCTGTTAACATACCATAATATATTATTTACACTGTTTTTCTATAAATTACTTAGTATATAGATATGAGAATTTTTTTTTCCTTAACCCTTTCACTCACAAGATCTCATTCTTAATCCTCCTTACTTTTTGCCATACAATTCTTGTGATGTGAGCATGGAGAATTTAGATTTGGGTCAACAAAAAAATCCCCTAATGGATATTATTTTTCTTTACTTTCATCACTTTTCTGCTTGACATTGCATTAATATTGTAAGGAGAAATTATGTCTTGGTCATTCATGGGAGTAAAGGGTTAACATTTTCTAAGCTAGAACCATAGAAATAAAAACTTTAAACATAGATTTAACACCTGCCCAATACAGATTATCATAATCTGATCAACCAACACTTATGGAATGATCAATGAAAGTGTACAACATAATTCTTTGTACTCATATTGGTTTCTTTAACACAGTAAAAACTTTGGTTTGACTCTCACTAGCTTCCAGTGGATTATTCGAAATGAAATATTTAGGTACTAAACCTATTCTTAAGAAATCATATCAATACATTTAATAACAATTTATTGTCACCCACATGGATTTATCATTCATAATATCATACAAAATAGAAGGGACAAACTCTAGTTTGAGTGCAAGTAACTCTTCAACTGTTACTAGGAGAATTTTTAAAATACATGTAATTAATCAGTAAACCCGGAGAATGAAACATAGTGAATCTTGATTTTTGAAGGAGCACTAAAAGCACTTTCTCTTAATATTCACTTGTTGTACATCAAGTGCCTGAATCAGCTGGCATTAAATTCATGAAGGATATTCTAATAAATTGTCCAAATTAGTCACTTTAAGGCAAAGAAACTATGGTGTAACACTTGTAATGATAACCCACCTCAAGTAACCACTCACAAAGCTTAATGTTGGTGTCCAGTAGTTACAGGTCAACTCTGAGTTGTATGGGGCTAATTTTTGGCAAGGGGTATTACAAGTTAGTTTGATTTTATCTACTGAGTTGTTTATGTTAATTGCCCACCATTAAGAGTTTGTAAAGCTGATGTTTCATGCGTTAACCCTATGTCAGAGTGAACGACAAATGCTAATGCTTGGAAGCCTTGCTTTACAACTCTTTACTGCAGTCAATTTAAGTTATGAACTCAGTTGACGAAATGAAATGAGTTGATAATCACAATGCTTGTTCTTGAGCCCCCAAGTGCTTATGACTCAAACAATCTAGTTTTCACTAGCTCATAAGTAACTGAGCCATTTGAAGAATGGCATCTTGCACTCAGCTCTTTCAGTTTGTCCTACATTATGACATACCAGTAATGGCTCTTCACTTCTGATTGCAACTCTGATTCTGACTTTATAATTAGTGAAAACCTGCCTTTTACAGCTACTGTAGAAAGTGAAACATAGATGCTTAGCTTACATTGTATAAGAACTGGAACTGTGAGGGGTCAGACAACACTTGTCATAAACATGAATGTGCTTATATTTCTAAACTGCATGCTTCTTTAATGGAGAGTAACCTTCTTATGAGGTGGACATGACAGAGACCAGCTCTGACTGGGAGAATATACAAGTAATCATGTCACTAATGGTGAATTCTTCTTAAAAACCATTGTGATGGTGGGACATTGAGGTCTGTGACAATTCTAACAGGCTTTTGAAAAGGGAACCACATAATGCTGTACAGTGCTGTATATTTTACATGATCACGTACACAGCATCAAGGAGTAACATGTTACATGAAAGTAGAGGTAAGATTTCTGCCTGTGGCAGCAAAAAATTTCTCAACATGTTCACCTGTGGCCATTTTCTTTCCTTACTGCTCCACTACCTTTTCTGATTCCTTTAATTCAGGATAGTAATTCTTGTATCTCAGATGCCAAGCTAAACTTGTACATGCAGTCACTGTTCTAAACTGATGAATGATGTTGCGAGGAATGAAGTAGATGTCATTATCCCTCAGCCGGAATGCAGCATATTTCACACCATCTCTTCTCAGTTGATTTAATTTTGCATCATCTACCCAACTAACACACTAGAAAGAGGGGGCATAAAAATTATTAATTAGTAGGCAAGTGCAAAAAGATCAGATAGAGGAGGAGGTATTTAAGCAAGTTGAGTTGTATGTGAGCAAATAACATAGAATACCACTGTCTAAAAGTGTATTCTCACTTGTTGGACTGGAGGTTCATGAAGATCCAACTGCAGTTTCTGAGTCAGGAAATTAAAGTTTTCAGCACTAAAACAGATCACATCCTTACAGTCTCTGTTAGCAGCTGGACTGGAAAGCAAGCGGAAAGAAAATTGTTAGGATGGTAGCTTAACACTTTTTAAATGGTTGTGTTCAAATGTGGGAATAATTCTCTACAGCTGTAGCTCTAAATTATACATGTTGTTCTTGTGTGATGAGTATGATAAGCCAACTCCAAAAGACAATTCCTATAAAATTTTTATTTCAACTTCACTCTTTGACCCCCCTAGGAGTGACTAGTATCTAATTTCTTGTAATAGTATCACCCCAAAATCACACATCGAGGTCATGAAGAAAATGATCACTGATCAAAGAAGCTCTTGATTACTAATCAAATTCTCCTTACCAGCACTTAAGGTAATGTATGGAGAATACTAAGGAGAATGTGCATATTGATGTAAGGGTGTAAAGGGTTAAGTAAAAGCAGAGATACTCCTGTTTTAGGTTCTGAAAATATCTTCATTATCATTAGCACTGTGATCATTATCATTCAATTCTGATACCTGCCAATTTCTTGTCATTAAGATGATCAAACTATCAAAACATTCTGATGGCAGCATACTACCTGTAGAAGGTTTGTGTTTTATAGCTACAGAAGCAAACTGAATATTTTGTACACAGAACTGGTCCCTTACATTTCTCCTACATGGACTGCTTTCAATACACCAACAGCCGCAGTCGTTTGTCTGTCAAAGCCATGTCCAACATGATCAGCATGACAGCGTGTTCTATCTTCAGCAAGAATCTCTCTGGGTTCAGAAACCCTGGGAAGGTACTGTAGGTTTTGGAGTTCATTTACACCAATTCTTGGAAAAAAAAAAAGTATTGAAGATTTGATTTACAGTATCTAGTACATGTAAGTACCAAATGATTATATAGCAATTAGCTGCCAGGTTTGGCTATTATCACCTGATTAAAAAAAAGAAGCTCAATTGACCTTTCAACTTGCAAGCTGAAGTTTAGAATAACCCACAATAGCAGTTAACAAAAGATATAAATTAAGGCCTAGAGCACTTTAAGGCCTACAGAGCTGCACAACAGGTGAAATCAAGTCTCCTTTTTAAAATTAAATGTTTAAACATTTATTAAAGGCCAGTTTGTAAAACCCTACACACAGTTACTAAACCTTGAATAAAAATTCCAAATGATTTGAGCAAAGTATTGTAGAATTGCTATCATGACCCGGTGCAGGGCAAACAAAATCATGGAAAGAAGACATAACTTTAGTGCTAGCAGACTGACTTGAATTGTTAAGTACCAAACATTTTTCCAAGCTTCATCCATGACATACATTACAACAAAACCATATAACAATGTGCATGACATACCTTCGCTTCTTGTATGGTGATCTTGATTCTGCTGTGGGAACAACCTGCTCTCCTGGTCGAACCCACATGATAGGGCCATCATTGCTTTTGTTTCGCTCAGTTAAATTAAGTGCTGAGAAAGTTCCCCAAGGCATTGTCTCCTTCAGAAAGAGACATTGTTCAAGTAAGTCCAAAAACTCTGGGAAATATCCTCCACTTTCCTCCTGAACCGTCCCAACTAAGCTGAACTGCAGAAGGGGGCCTGACCGGTATGTCCCACAATCATAGGAAGATTCCACTCTTTGCATGAATTCCTCCATCTTCAAAGTCTCAAGGTCTGATTTTTTATATAAAGAAGAAACCTTGACAGTCAAATTTGGATGATTTACTCCAAAGTATTTCACAAGTTCAGGTAGATATCCTGCAGCGTTATGAACAATGCCCATAACATTTTTTGCCACACCTTCACTTTTTTCAGCAAAGACTTCACGAAAAAACAGTTTGACAAACTTTTGCAGCTTTTCTTCTCTTAACCCAGCAATTTCATCTGTATAAACATGCAGCACTGATGCTCCACCATTGGCATCAACCTCTGTATGAATCAGATGCGAGAGACGAGTTTTTTCCTTTGGATTTAATCTAATGGTATAATCTTGATCATTAAAATTCTTTTCCTCTTCATGGTTATGATGATAATGATGATGCTCCTTGTGTTTCTTCTTCTTTTTCTTTACATCTGATCCTCCATTAAGTTTAGCAGTACCATTGCTTTCATGATTTGTGTCAACTGTGAAAATAAACAGTATTTGCAGGTTAACCTTTTAAATCCCATGAGTGACTGAGACAAAATTTCTCCTTACAATATCAATACAATATCAAGTAGATGAGGGATGAGAACAAAGAAAGATATCAATTAGGGGATTATTAGTTGATCCAATTCCAAATGCTCCAAACTAACAACACAAGATTTGTATGGCAGACAGTAAGGAGAATTACTATTGAGATCTTAGGAGTTAAAGGGTTAACTAAGAGCCACTCATCAGTGGCCAACTGCTGCCTACAAGACCAATTACTGCCATCTGTTCAGCCTGTTTGAGTTTCACCTGATTGCACTTTTTCTGGCTTTGTTGCCAATTACAATTTCTCAACCTCTTCTAGAAAAAGTTATTGAAACTTCTGAGTTAGGTTGCTTAGTCTATAAATCATAAGTTCAGCTAGTATTGTATCACAGTTATAGTAATTGCCATAGCATTGTTTTGTGTGGTTCCAAAATATACATGTTGCATTTTGAAATGATGTTAGTTTAAATTTGTCTTTAAACATTTCATCCCTGAAAGTGACTATGATCTTGTTTCTCCTTACTGAATCACACATTAAGGTCATGAGATTAAAGGAAATGATCACCAACTAAAAAAGCTCTCAATTATTCAGAAAACTCTCTTTGTCAACACCTTAGGAATTGAGCAATAACTGTATTGGGAATATACACACTGTTGCTAAGGTGTAAGGGTTGACCAGTTTGACTTCCAATTTCTGGTGTCTAGGGAATATCAGGATGTATCAAGCACAAAGGAAAACACTGACCAATCTGGTTTGAATAGTTTTTAACCTGTAAGTCATTCTACATGTAATACAGCTTATTTCCTTGGGAATAAATATGTTTCGAGCCCTTTCAGAGTCATTTCAACCCTTGCCTCACAATTTAGGGTAAAATGACTTTGAGTCTAACCCAAAAACATCTTTATGCTCGAAGTTTGATATAGGCATAGATGGAATGATCATTAACCCTTCAACCCCCAAGAACTCACTGTTAATTTTTTCCCTCTAGCTGTGACACATATACTTTTAAATTTGCAATAATTTGTTGTTAGATCAACAACTTCCCTCTGATAAGTTTGAATATTCTCATAACTTGTTTGCAGGACAATGCAAGGATATGATAGAGAGAAGTTACATGTTAATCACTCCAATGAGTTAAAGGGTTAATAACTGTAAGTAATGAAAACTTACTGGCGCTATATTCATGTGGATTCATTACCTGAGTTTCTCTTGATTTTCAGTTTCAAATCATTGTGAGAAATAATCTCTGGGGCTGCAGGTGTAAATTCACACTTCCCTGAAAAATAATAACAAATCTTTCAGAAAAAAAATTATCATAACATTTTTTTAGGGACCATATTAATGATTGGTAAATTCACCAGGCCATATCTCATTGTGCTGCCCACTAAATTCAAAAGTTTGTTTTTCCGCTAGGATTTATGGCCTGCACATACCACACTTTGGCTATAAATCCAAAGGGGGAAATGCATGGTTCATAAATGTTGCTTACTATAAAGATCTCAAACTTGGTTAGTAAGTGGTACATTTTAAAAATTGCTGGTTTATATTTGGAAACAATTTTAATGCAGGTACAAGGTCACTTCTTCCCTGGAATCTCAAAATACAACTGAATGAAATTCATATAATTACATCTGTTTCAATATCAGGACAATTACATAGTTTTTAGGGCAAACTTCTCCCTTGAGGAGTAATGCACTTATGTTAAAAAAAGAGTGGTATGGTTCATTTAATGTTTAAGTTGGGTTTTGAGCCTTAAAACTATTTTCAGATTGCCTTCTTTTCCTATGAAGGGTATCAACAAGGGAGCAAATGCATGTATGAAGTTACAATGCTACATTGAAATCCACTAAGTTTGGTCAATTGTTAGAACTCTGAGATACTTTTAATTTCAAATCAGACTTGCCCTTTTATCCCTGACAATGGATAATAAACACTCGTGTGATCAGGTCTTACACCGTTTACTTATAGGTAAAACAATATTGGTACATCTAACAAATGCTGATACTGTAACTACCCATCCTTTGCATATCATGACATTGCAATAACCACAAATTAATCACTTTTTTAAATTCTCAGAGTTGGAAAGTCTCCTATTTCAGCAAAGTTTTAAAAGTGCATCTATGTTTTACATTAAGATCGACTCCTTTGTCACTTTGTGCAAGACAAGTTCATCTTCCGCAGCAGTTTTGTTTGTAAAAACACGTGGAAAGTTACACACTTGTGTACGCCGAATTAACTTTAAAAGGAAATAAAACGAGAGCATTCAACATAAATATCTTTCTTTCTTTTAAAACAAATACCCTTCACCACAATGCAATGGAAATTTCCTACACACCACCGAGAATTTAACTTCTGTCTTATCAGGGAAGTCTGGTTGCCCAAGTCACACATGCTAGGCGAAGATCGGAGTCAATATGGTGAAGTTTGACGTGAAAAAACTCTTTAAATTCACAAACAAACATGAAAATTTTCCTCCAAAATGCTACCAATTCTTTCCCTTGAAAACCCATAACAAACGGATGCAAATAGGTTTGCAAAATTGTAAAAAAAAGGCCACCACAGTTAAGCAGAACAAACAATTCTGTATCCTCTACAAGTTCGATTTGTTTAAGCACCCGGATTTCTTCCGTTGTACAATTAATTCTCTCAACCATAAGCTAATTCAACATAAATTTGCATCCCACCTTCCTTTTTAATTTTCTTTAAGGTTGTCTTTAAACTGTTGTTCGGTGTTTTTGTTGGTGACGGTGTTGGTGATGTCGGCGACACAGACGTTATGTTCCAACTCTCTTCGTGCGAACTCAAACGATGCGTTTTGCCAAAATTCTCCAAATGTTTTGTCTCTTCTTCGAAACTCGTCTTTCTTTTTTTCTTGACATGTTCATCTTTTGGTAATACAAGGCTTGTTGGTTTCTTCAGGAAAGGAGATTTGCTAAAAAACGTATCGCGACCGTTGACGGCAACTTCCTTCGAGGTCGCCATCTTGGAATTTATATTATGGGTAAATAGTGACGTCACATCAAATACTCCTGTTCTTTCGCGCGGTTATCATTGTAACTATTATTTTTCTTTTTGTAATTTTTGAAAAGATCGTCCGGGGGAACAAGGAATATTTTAACTTCTCACTGTCGCAAACCGAAAATACCAGCATCATAAGAATATTTTGATCATTTTAATGAAAGCGTTTTTACTTTTTTCGCTGAAATTTTGTCTTCAGAGCATCGAGGATAAATTCAATACGACTACTATATATCAAATTTCACTTCTAGAATATTCAAGGCTTATTAGCTTCATTAAAACATCTTTACTATAAGCGATACATCAAACGAGTGTCAAGGTTTATCGTTGAAATATGTCAATGAATGTCTTCGAAATGATTTAATCTCTTAACAGAAAATTAGCCCTGTTTTGTTGTTTTTTTTTAAAATGCATTAATTAGAACCAGAATATTTTGTAACAAGAGCTCCTCATCAAAGGAAAAGAAAATGGAATGAAGAACCATTTCAATGTGAGAGACAGTTGTATCTTATGCGTGTAGGGTGAGGTGAGGAGAATCAACGCCGTCACGCAAACGAGGCTTTATAGGAGAAAGTAAACATGGCGCCGGGCTCTAGAACGTTAAGAGCTTCCGAAATACCAATCTACACCCTTGATTTTCCTCATACCTGTGTTATTCCTTGAAAACAGCAATGAAGGTCAGCTCAGAGGGCCAAGTATGAAAATATGGATGCCTGGAAAGCGACAAGTGATGCAAAATTTGGAGTTGGTAGGCGTTTATCGTTGACATGTAAAGATCCGCTTTCAAATTTTGAACTTTTCAAGATGCACGGAACTATATCAGATCTGTCTTTTGCGTCTTGTAGTTGTGTACAATTTTGACGGAAATATTACTCATGGACTACGGTTAACCATTGGCGAAACTGTGCACATTTTAGAAGAATGCGCAGGTAAGCGCGATCTAATTTTAATCATTGACTCCCAGTTGGTATATCAGCAGTCTTTCAATGCCTAAGAATATTTCCTTATTGACCTATCCTGTTATCTGAATCTTTGTTATTGATTTGAGGTTTTCCGGTTTTGCTGTGAATGTTTTACAATGGCAAAGATGGCTTTCCGTAATATTCCTAGAAAAGAATTCAGTAATTTTATCTATGCTTAACTTGATCGTGTCTATTAAAATGTTTAACACTTTTCTAAGTTTGTTTAAATCGCGCATTATTAAGTGTTATCAGTTAACTTCTGTCGCAATGATCATGTCTCGGTCGCGAACGTTTGAGCGTATGCGTGGGCAATCAATGCTTCAGCAACATGCTAACGAATTGAGATAAAATATGTTTTCGTGTTTTTACGGTTTTTCGATGAAACAGGTTGGTACAGGGGATGCACTTTACGAAACAAATCTGTAAAGGTAAGTTCATCGCCTTTCCAGTCATTGCAGAAGTCAGCCTTTCAAGTTTTATTTGTTTATTTTATTAATTAATTATCCAAATATATGAATACTTCATTCAAATGTAGAAGAGCCCGCAATGAATTCAATCAGGATTTATGTTTTAAGTTAAGTTCATTAGTTTTGTAATGTTTAAGTTTATCTTCTTGGATTAGGAATATAGGAAGAGCTTTTAATAACGCCTCTCTTGCCACCAAAATCGCTAACAGGAACTGCATCTGAGGAAAAGGACCATTGATTTGATTTATTAATTTTCACAACTTTTTATTTTCAATTATACATACTGTAACAGTGATCCTTTCTCAGTTGTAACTACAGTGGAACCCTGCTAACTTGAACTCAGTTCATTTCTTCAATTCCCTTACTAACTTGAACAAAATTCAATTCCCCTGGATTTGACCCCATTTTTTCAGTTTATTAATACTATCTTAACTTGAACTCAATTCACTTAAACTTGCTGTGAACTTGAGTTAATTTTACTTTCCCTTGGCTTGGATTGACTCTGATAACAAAAACTTAGCTAAAACTGATAAAGGTCAAAATATCACAAAAGAGGTGATTGTCTGTAATCACAATGATGTGAATGTGATAACATGTATGAAAACGTAACACGTTTGCTTAATTTCCCAAATTAAATGTTCACAAAGAAAAGCTCTTACGAAAAAACTAAATGTGCTAAAATTACTATTGATCGTGCAAGAGTGGTAAAGTCATGTCTCCCTATTAATTATTAGAAGATAGTTGAAATTCAACACCAACCCCGATAACTTGAACTATTGCTAACTTGAGCTATTTCTGTTTCCATATGGAGTTTGACTTAGCAGGGTTCTGCTGTAATCATAGATCATGCTCGGTGTGAGATCTTTTGTTTAGGTCTCACAGAAGAGGTTTTGGAATTTTCCAGTCATTGCTCTATAATGTCGGTGAACTTAAAAAAACATTACTGAGAAGTAACCAGAATTAAATTTGAAGTGGTACATGAAATAATGAGATTACTTTAATTTGAGTAAACAGTATCACTTACGGGTAATTGTATTTTTCTTATTGACAGGGTATCTTTCCAGCAACATATATTCACCTCAAGGAATGTACTGTGGAAAATACAGGGTAAATGTAATTGTTTTTCTTTGTTTTGACTTCTGTACATTTGAACAATTTGCAATTACTCATGAAAATTTTAATTGAAGTAGTAGATAGATTCATTTGATTCATTTTCAACCAACACTTTATCTTTAGCACTTGCTAACTTGTAAATTTATTTTAAAAAGTTATCAATTATTTCTGTGATAAGCCTATGAGAGTGTTGTCCTGTACAGCATAGGGGAATTCCATTGGCTGATTTGAGTGCATTTATGGCTTGTTATGCATATGGTTGAGCTATTTTCAGTTCTCTTGTTTGGTAAGACGTAAGTCATCTTAAAAAATTTAGTTCCAAATGGGATGGACTTTCATGTTGTTATAGTGAAGAAGATAAACCTACTTGTTGAGAAAGCTTTATCCAGGCACACTTAAATGTGATCATGGGGTTCAGTTTATGTTTTGACTCACTGTAAGTTACTTGTAAATGCCCTGTCCTGTGTGTTTCTAAAAATAAGTGAAGAAAATAAGCTCAATACCCTCGTGCAGCTGATAAAAATGCTTGAATGTATATGATAATCAAACTGTGAGCTGCAAGGAACTGATACAATTGTAATATCAGCAGACAATTATATTGGTCATGGTATATTTTTGCACCAGGGCAAATATAGATTCATTTTTTTTTCTTATTATTATTATCTTTTTACTTCCTTCCATCCTCCAAAATATAAAAGTATAAAAATATTAAGTAATGCTGAAATAACTATTACTTTGAAATTTATAAGCCACAAAATTTCCCTTATTTCTAGTACTGCAAGTGAAAGTGTTGTCCCTAAAGAAGATGCTACAGTTAAGGAGCTAACTTTGATATTAAGAGAATGGTTTGTTATCTGGAAAGACCTTTACAAGGTATGGAAATGATAGAAAACTAATGATTATATATTAAATGCACATTTGATCTGGAGATAAAACTGAGTCATCTTGACCATAATTATGATGTAGAAAGACATTTTGCATGTCATATTACCACCACCTACCCTCCCCTGTGTCCCACCCCACACTCTCCCTTAGATTTCAAAAGAGAAGTAGGGAATATTTAGTGATATGTAGTTAATTTTTTTGTTGATCATTTTTAGTTAAAACAGTTGTTATTTTTTAGAAAGTACCTCAAACAGGTTGTAGCTTGTGGAAGAGTCTTCTGTAGCACAGAGGTGGAGCATCAGATTGTTGGCTCTTGGGTTCAGTTCCTTGTTGGGGGGGGGGGGGAGGAGGGGAGGAGGCTCATTTTTTTTGTTTGTTTCCATACTTATAATGAAAGGCATAACAACCCTCTTTAATGTGATGATAACTGATTTACATTAAGAAATGACCCATGTAAGTGGGCTGCAATGGAAGCAATTGTAGAAAAGAGCCTGAAAAATTCATGCTTTGACAGGGCTCAAGTCTGTGCCTCTGAGATATTAGTTAGGTGTTTCTACCAGCTAGGCTAGGAAGCCACACATTGGGAGTGAGACAAATGATTTAGGGTTTTATATAGGAGCCTGTTCACAATTTTTATCAACATAACATTTTAACTCTTGTGCCATTATAGGGAAAACAAGATCGCCTCTTTTTAGCACTAAAAACAATCATGTGGGATTTAGTGGAGTGCAGGCAAAAGCTAATATCTGGAACACTGACACAGGTACTTGTTTACATGTATCATAGAAAAATGATTTCAAGCTAGGGACACTGTAAGAGTGAGGAAAAGATAATGTTGTATCAATGTGAGAATGTGAAATGTCCTGTTTATTAGACATAAAAGTGTAAGTGACAACCCTGAAGGTATTGTGGGTAGTTTACAGGTCATAGTTCCTTAACCTCAGGATCTATTAGGGAAATCTGAGAAAATGTCACTGTAAGGACCAGGCATAGCAGGCTAGATGAATTTATTAAATATTTATTTGACTTACCAGATACCCAGGTTCCCCTTCAAGGTTGCTTCATCCACTTTTTGTCCTTTTTTCTGAAAACCTTTCTTCATACTTCTTTGTACTACTATAGATGTAAATGAAATATTGAAATCCAAGGCAATTTTAAAACATTTCAAGATGGCTGACTTTGTGCCTTCACCTAAGACGTCATTGTTTAAAATAGGAGGAAGATGAGAAATTCAAGACATCTATAAAACACATCATTGAAAGCCTTACATGTTCATTTCACAATGCCATCTATTTTGCAGGACCAAATGGATGACATCAAGAAGAAAGCTATCAATAAAATTGACTGGGGTAACAGGTATGTATGTGCCTTAATAATCATAAATTCTCATTAAGAGAATTCTGTTACTTGTAACAACTGTTCAGTTCAAAGAGTTCACTGTTCAGTTCAAAGAGTGCTCCACACTGCAACTGTACTGGTCACCATGGCAAGTAGGGTAATATTTTGGTAACCACAACAAAGGTCTGTGACAAAGGTC